TGATCAGATGACTTGATGATGGTGAAGATGATGATGATGGTGTCCCGATGATGATGATGATGATGATGATGATGATGATGATGATGATGATGATGATGATGATGATTATGGTGGTGCTGTTGATGATGATGGTGATGGTGTCCCGATTATGATGTTGCTGTTCATGATGATGATGGTGCCCCGATGATGATGATGATGACGTTGATGATGAGGATGATGATGGGATGATGATGATTTTGACGATGGTGGCCCAATGATGGTGATGAAGATGTTGATGTTGATAATGATGGTGTCCCGATGATGTTGATGCTGCTGATGACGATGATGGTGACGATGATGATGGTGTTCCGTTGATGTTGATGGTGATGGTGTTGGTGATGATGATGGTGATGGTGGTGATGATGATGGTGTCCCGATGATGATGATGTTGTTCACGATGTTGATGATGATGATGGTTAGGGTGGTGATGATGATGGTGCCCCGATATGATAATGTTAATGATCATGATGTTGATGATGATGATGGTGATGGTGGTGATGATGACGGTGGTGTTCCGATGATGATGATGTTGTTGACTATGTTGATGATGATGATGATGATGGTGATGGTGGTGATGATGGTGGTGCCCCGATGATGATGATGTTAATGATCATGATGTTGCTGATCATTATGATGGTGTCCCGATGATGATGATGATGATGATGATGATGATGATGATGTTGTTCATGATCATGATGATGCGACGATGATGATGGTGGTGTTCCGCTGATGATGATGGTGTCCCGATGATGATGTTGATGATGATGATGGTGTCCCGATGCTGATGATGATATGGTGATGCTGATGATGGTGGTGATGATGTGATGAGGATGATGGTGTCCCGATGATGCTGATAATGATGCTGATGACGATGATGTTGATGAGGATGATGACGTTGATTGTGATATCGATTGTGATGTCGATAATGATACCGATAGTTAGACCGAATGTGGTATCGATTGTGAGATCGATAGTGAGATCGATTGCGAGATCGATCGTCAGATCGATTGTGAGATCGATCGAATGAAGTAGATCGAGTGAGATCGATTGTGAGCTCGATCGAGTGAGATCGATCCAGCGAGACCGATAGTGGGATCGATAGCAAGATCGCTAGTGAGACCGATCGAGTGAGACGTTGGTTCCTCCCCCCCCCGAACATCCTTATCACCCGAAGGGTGGTCGTATAGCTATGTATACCTATACGACCACCCTGCGGGTGATAAGGAGGTTGGGGGGGGCATGGCCCAGCAATGGGCAAAAGTGGTGAAGTTGTTGTGCTCATTCGCTGTCTCATCCGGTATCACTACCGATCTCACAATCGATATCACTATCGACGTCGTCATCATCATCATCGACATCACCATTAACATCATCATCATCATCATCGTCATCATCATCAGCATCATCATCATCAACGTCGTCATCATCATCACAATCATCATCACCATCATGGCCATCATCACCATCAGCATCGCACAATCGATCTCACATTCGGTCTCCCTATCGATATCACAATCGATTTCACAATCGACATCATCATCATCATCAACGACACCAACATCATCATCATCATGATCATCGCCATCATCAACATCATCATCATCATCATCATCATTACCATCATGATCATCATTATCCTCATCATCATCATCATCATCATCATCATCATCATCATCATCATCATCCACGTCATCATCGGGACACCGACGGGACACCGAAGGGACACCAGCGGGACACCGGCGGGAC